AAGGGAGCATTGGTGACGGGCAGGCGGCTGCCCGGGGTAGACTTGGAGAGCGAAGGTGAGGACCTCCTTTGTCCAAACGGGGATCTCTCTTCCGCTACCCACACTGCCAGTGGTCAGCCTCTACCCCCACCCCCCAGCCCGCTTCCCTCCCTTTCTTCGGGTCAGTAGTTGGCCGGCGTGGAGGAGAGAGCCAGCGGGGCGAGGAGACAGGAATCGCCTCCCCCGATGCGCCACGGAGTCCTGCCGACGAAAAGGCCGGCTGGCACGGGTCATCCTGCCGCTCATCCAGCCGAGAGCTGCCGCTGTCTGCTCCCTCTACCCGCCGAAGCCTAGTTGCTCGCCCTGCCCGGTAGGTGCCCGGCGCCTCCCGCTTGGCTTCGGAGCGGCGTCCTGGCGGGAAAGAGGGACTGGAGGGCGGGGGCAGGAACCGCTGCTTTCTGCGGGAGACGGCGCCAACCACCCAACGCGCCGAGCACTGTAACCGGCCGGAGGTGGGCAAGCAGGCGGGCGGGGGGAGCTTCTGCAAGCTTGTCTCCTGCCGCAGCTGCCCGGAACTTCGGGCTCAGTGGCGGGGCGGGGGGGGGCGCGACGCGGGGGCGTTTCTGCCCGGCCTCCTCCTGCGACTCCGCGGGCGAGGAAGAGGTCGGCGGCTGCTCCCCGGGGAGGCGCTTTCGGGGCCAGCCAGTCAGACCCACCGCCCGGCCCGCCGACTCCAGGGCCGCCGGAGCAGCAGGAGGCCGTTGTGGAGGCGGCGGCGAGGGCAGAGGTGTCCCGGCTCGCGGGGGCTGCCGGGCGGGGGTGATCCTGCAGGGATGAGGGCCCGGCGGCCTGCGCTGCCAAATCCCCGGCCGGGCAGCTGGGCGGACCAGGGGCTGCTTCGGATCCTAAGCCCTCAGGCCCCGCTGCGCGTTACCTGCCGCCCCCCTCGCCGCCGCACCTTGTTGCTTCCCAGGCCAGGGGCAGCGTGTGGGCCGAGAGCCCCGTTTATCCCCGTCTCCCCCGTGAAAAGGCTTCTGGGCCGGTGGTGTTTTTCAGAAATCTGGGCTCTTCTTCCCTCGCGGGTGCCTTTCCGGCTGCTCTGCGGCGTTGGATCCGCAGCCTTCCCCGGTGTTTAGGTCTCTCGTCTCTTCCGAAATGCCCCCAGGCAGCGAGGCTTGTTTCCCTGTAAACCGCTGGGTGCTCTTCGCTGTGCAGCGTCCCTCCAATTCCCCCTTCCCCTTTAAACTTCTCTCCGCCCCCGCCCCCCCTTTCCTTCCTGAACCCTCTCCGCGGGTGGCTCCTCTGAACTCCAGCGCCCAGAGAGGGAAGCGGTGCCCCCCACACACACAGACACACACACACACACACACAGGCGGGAGGGGGGAGGGTTGGAACTGTGGTGCACGTGAGGGGCCCAGGACTCCCCCCCCCCATCACAATGAAAGCAGGCATAGAGCAGAATCCCCTGCGAGCGGATGGGTGGGGGTGGTAGAGGGTTTCCCCTGGCTGCCTGTTTCCCCTGCGGCTTTTCTCCAATCCCGGGTGCAAATCATTCCATTTCCTGGTGGATTCTCTCTCTTCTGGCAAGGTGCCACCTTTGCAGGTTGATTTGGGGGTGAGGTTTGACACCCAGTTGTCTCTGCCCACTTTGTGCCATCTGTGACCCATCTGCACCCTTCTGGTGCATGTCCAATTGCCCAGAGCTGCCCAGTCCTGGGAAGGGCGCATGCAGGAGATCCAGCTCCCTCTCAAGCGCTGCTCCTGCCAGGGCAGTGGGACCGAGAGAGGCACTTATCCCACCTGCCCCCTTCCCCCCCCCCCAGGCTGAGAGCCTGGCTAAGCGCTCCTCTGGGCGGGGAGGGGGTTGATCCCCTCCAAGTAGAAACTGTCCGAAATGGCTCCGAAGAGGCAGTGAGTGGGCCCAGGTGATCCAAAGGCAGGCAGGTAGGCTGCCTCTCTCTGCCCCACCCCGAGAGACCCGGCCTGTCCCAGGGCATCTCCTTCTGCTTAGCCAGGGCGGAGGAGGAGTTGGCCGCCTTGAGGATCCCTCCTGGCCTCCCAGTTGGGCCCTTCCCCTCTCCTGGGGCCTCTTCCCTCCCCCCCTCACCACGACAGACCATTTTAATGGGGAAGCTGATGGGCAGAGCAACCGTCCCGTCTGCCGAGATTAAGGGGTGTTCCAAGCAAGGTGGGGGGGGGTAAAGATCAGGGCCTGTGGACATCTGGTTTGTATCCCTTAAGAGAACATCTAGGGTGCCATTTGTAGGGTGCACCTTCCCCAGCCTTGTCTTCCATATCCTTTCCCCCTCTTTCCACCTGACAGGGTCTCCTCTCTGGTGGGCCACGCAGGTCCTTAGGCAGCCCCTCCCTAGCTAAGGTGTGTTCCTAGTGTGGCTCGGCCCATGGAGGCAGGTCCCACACGCATTGCCTTTGTGCCCCTCAGATCCCTGGAGGGAAGCTAAGGGGTGAAGGGGAGGCTGGGCTCAACTGCTTGCCTCAGTCAGGCTCAGCCCTCCGGTCAACCAGGGGGGGTCTTCGGGGTGGGGGGTCTTCTTCTATGGATGCTGAGGACGGGCAACTGCCTTGCATCTGAGAACTGGAAGGACCCCCGGAGAGGATCAAGCAGTGTGTGTGTGTGTGTGTGTGTGTGTGTGTGTGTGCGGGGGACTGTTCCTTGAGCCAGGTTGCAGGGCAGAGAGAGCCAGGCTGGCATTTTTACGTGACCTCTTGGGCTTCAGGAATGCCAGCCTTAAAGATGGCAGTGGTCCCACAAGACTATGACTCCCTGGGCGCCTCTCCTCATTGCTTTTCCAAACCAGCCAAGCTTCAGCCCTCGAACTGTAGCTGTGCCTTGTATAATGCACTCTCTTGGTGGCACTGCCAGGAAGGAAGAGTGCGGGGGAGGAGATCCCACATGGCACATTTCTCAAGTGGATCAGAATACTTGCGATTCCTTCAGCTTGCTACCTGCCTGGTCCTGGTAAGGGATCGATGGGAGGATGCAGAGATCAAGCAGGTCTGCCCTACTGCCTTTTGGCCCCTGGACCAAGGAGAGGCGGCCCTGAATGGATCCACTACCTGGGTGGGCATCCCCACCTGAGCTTTGCAAGAGGCTGCC